CTCAGTCCATTTCCTAATTCTTATATTGCTTGTATACTGGCAAGATTTATAATATTTACATTCTGTAAACATTTAACACATATGTGTATTTTGTCTTTTGACTACAAATTGGTTCTAAAAATCAAGCAGCAGCCAGCTTTACAATCTAGATTATGTAAGTATTCATTTGAGATGCCAGTATCTGTTTCATGAAAGCTTTGTTGTTCCTGTAGAATAAGCTGGTATTACCTTATGATGAGTGCTCTGTTTTCTTTCTTGATTTCTTTTATTTCTGGCTTATACTTAGCTGTCACAGATTTTCTGTCACATGTGGTCTTTAGATTTTTTTTTTTTTTTCCATTCAAGCAGTCTTCTTGGCCTGGCCTCCCAAAGTGCTGAGATTACAGGCATGAGCCACTGCACTTGGCCAGTCCTACTCGACACTCAGTGGTCCCTTTAAAAATGAGTATTCTTGTCTCAAATTGGGGATATCTTATGATCCTTTAATAATTTCTTTTTATTCTCTCGTCTCTATTCTGTCTTTCTGGCACTCCTATTTGATTATTCCAGGATTTACTCTCCATTTAAAAAAAATTGTTTGGAAATTTAGTACTCCATCTCCCAGATCTCCACTTTGTTCTCCAGGTGTACATTTTATCCCATCATTGAATTTTTGTGTGAATGGCAATCATTTTTAATTGTTCAGACTTTCTTTTTCTCTGATTATTTCTTTTTTATACCAGTCAGTTTTTTTTTACATGCATTACACTATTTCCCTGCGGTTCCTAGTTGAGAGTTTTTAAAATTTGCATTTGTTCGCTGAGCTATAATACTGGATACTAGGTCAATTATCATTTGCCCTGGCTATGTTCTATAAAGTTACCATGAACGCTGAATTAGCTAATACTGGATACTGAATTGCTCCTAGGGGAAATACAGGCTTTCCACAAGTCTCTCACTACATTTCTGTCAACTGATCAGTGTATAACCTTTTTGTGTGTCTTTCTATTTAAAGGTAACTTATATGTTGTTGATTCATTAACATCGAACTCACAGCCAACAACACAAACTACTCAGGCCTGAAAAAGGCATTCTGAATACACAAATTTTCTCCATAAAGCACATCCCGGCCTTCCTATGTTTAGGAACACTAGACAGCGCTTCAGCAGCATCCACGGGATTTTAAACTGTGAAATCACTTTTAAAAAGCACAAAAATGTGAAAAACGTGAGGCGAACTGACTAGACTGTGAAAAGGACATTCGTTTACCAATGAGAGCCAAAGGAAGAAGGCATCTCTGCTGGGAAACTGTGCATCAAGCAACTGGATTTTTTTGCAGAGCTGCTTTGTACCTGCCAATCAGTGACCATGAAAGCCTGGGCCGGGCACGGTGGCTCATGCCTGTAATCCCAGCACTTTGGGAGGCCGAGGTGGGCGGATCACTTCAAGTCAGGAGTTTGAGACCAGCCTGGCCA